TGGAAATATTCTCTTACCAGTCCCAAACCTGTTTGCAACAGGAACAGACAGTACAATGGGAATGGCCTTGGAGAACAGAAGCCCTCCATATATGCTGGATAGGCCTAATAGGGCCTTGGGGGAAAGGATTAGAAGAAGACTTGCAAGTTTCACCTTGGGTGACAAGTACCTGGTCTCCCTGAGTAAAGGTAACATGGCCTGGAACAGATAAGTGCTCTATTCCAAAGGGCACATTTGTATTATCCTTATGGCCAATTATGAGTTCCCGTATACTGTTACATGTAGAACCTACAGATCCAACAGTACTAGCAGATAATGTATGGTATCATAAACCAGGTAAGATACCTATTCCTGCAACCATCCTCTCTCAGGATGGCAAACTGACATGTATCCTACCAGGGGGGTGAGAACTCCCCTTATTGATACCAATAATCCTTCTGTATTTTTGCCCATAGTATTGCGGCTGCGGGCACCACCGTACATTCGTGTGGCCAATGTGTTGGCTTGCTGAATATGCACTGAACTTCTCGTCGGTATGGCTACAGGATTCCCATGGAAAATCACCCCGATGATGACTACTAACTGGACGTGTGTGGCTAATAGTTAAAAGGATAGAACCACAGGACAAGCCTTAAGGCATATTGAATAGACAGTAGGTTATATGAATATAGGGTCATTTATCCTCACTAAGGGAACATTGTGGAAGATTCTGAATGTGTACTGTGAGGGACCCTGAAGGGGTGGATTGTAGGGAAAATATAGGAAAATGGTCAGGGCCCCTCAGATGTTCACAATCTTGCTACACATTTGCTGCAATTATCCACAAGCACTAGATGTTTCTTGGTTACTATCTTATGTAATTGAGTATGGGCACTCAGGTGTTCTGGGTTATGGACCTAAGTATAAAGGACTAACGGCTCTGATACACGGTGCTTCTCAGGACACTCCAGAAGGCCACTAGGGTGGCTGCTCCTAGCTCTGAATAAAGCCTATTAATTTTTTACCCTCAGCTCCCACGATCTTTTCCTATTACCTAGTTCATAGACCTGCATGTGAAGGGTTTGTGATGTAGTCTGTACACTGAGCTTGAGGGGTCTGTGAGCCCTAGCCCTAGCAATAGAGTCATGCAACTCCACAGGGAGGAGACATCTGGAAGCTTGCACCTGGTTTCTCCGTGATCTTGTTCATGTACCTTTTCCTTTTGCTAATTGTGGTCTGTATCCTTTCATTGTAATAAACCATAACCGTGAGTACACCAGCTTTTCTGAGTCCTGTGAGTCCTTCTAGCATCATGCCTACAGGTGATCTTGGGGACCCCCAAAACAGCCACTCAACTGAGGCTTCTGCAGTGGTGAGCAATGGTGGAGAGGTAATTTTGGGGAATTCAACAGCAAGAAATCAATAACAAAAGATCTGGAACTGGTCCTTGGTAGGGTCTNACACCAAGTCAAGGGTTAAGATCCCCTTACCGGTCATCTTTAAAAAAAAAAAAAAATGGTGGGGGGACTAAGGCTTTAAGGGACTAAGGATGCCCAACCCTTATCCCTGAGGGGGTGGACACAGCGGTTATGGCTGACAGTCAGGATTCTAAATGAGAGACCCTGCAAGGGCGGACCCTCTCCAGTGGAAGCTCTGTTGCATAGGGCCGCAGTACATATACAACTATCCGCAAATCATTACTAAAGATAAGATTTTGAAGCCAGGATACGGCGAGAATGGAAATATTCTCTTACCAGTCCCAAACCTGTTTGCAACAGGAACAGACAGTACAATGGGAATGGCCTTGGAGAACAGAAGCCCTCCATATATGCTGGATAGGCCTAATAGGGCCTTGGGGGAAAGGATTAGAAGAAGACTTGCAAGTTTCACCTTGGGTGACAAGTACCTGGTCTCCCTGAGTAAAGGTAACATGGCCTGGAACAGATAAGTGCTCTATTCCAAAGGGCACATTTGTATTATCCTTATGGCCAATTATGAGTTCCCGTATACTGTTACATGTAGAACCTACAGATCCAACAGTACTAGCAGATAATGTATGGTATCATAAACCAGGTAAGATACCTATTCCTGCAACCATCCTCTCTCAGGATGGCAAACTGACATGTATCCTACCAGGGGGGTGAGAACTCCCCTTATTGATACCAATAATCCTTCTGTATTTTTGCCCATAGTATTGCGGCTGCGGGCACCACCGTACATTCGTGTGGCCAATGTGTTGGCTTGCTGAATATGCACTGAACTTCTCGTCGGTATGGCTACAGGATTCCCATGGAAAATCACCCCGATGATGACTACTAACTGGACGTGTGTGGCTAATAGTTAAAAGGATAGAACCACAGGACAAGCCTTAAGGCATATTGAATAGACAGTAGGTTATATGAATATAGGGTCATTTATCCTCACTAAGGGAACATTGTGGAAGATTCTGAATGTGTACTGTGAGGGACCCTGAAGGGGTGGATTGTAGGGAAAATATAGGAAAATGGTCAGGGCCCCTCAGATGTTCACAATCTTGCTACACATTTGCTGCAATTATCCACAAGCACTAGATGTTTCTTGGTTACTATCTTATGTAATTGAGTATGGGCACTCAGGTGTTCTGGGTTATGGACCTAAGTATAAAGGACTAACGGCTCTGATACACGGTGCTTCTCAGGACACTCCAGAAGGCCACTAGGGTGGCTGCTCCTAGCTCTGAATAAAGCCTATTAATTTTTTACCCTCAGCTCCCACGATCTTTTCCTATTACCTAGTTCATAGACCTGCATGTGAAGGGTTTGTGATGTAGTCTGTACACTGAGCTTGAGGGGTCTGTGAGCCCTAGCCCTAGCAATAGAGTCATGCAACTCCACAGGGAGGAGACATCTGGAAGCTTGCACCTGGTTTCTCCGTGATCTTGTTCATGTACCTTTTCCTTTTGCTAATTGTGGTCTGTATCCTTTCATTGTAATAAACCATAACCGTGAGTACACCAGCTTTTCTGAGTCCTGTGAGTCCTTCTAGCATCATGCCTACAGGTGATCTTGGGGACCCCCAAAACAGCCACTCAACTGAGGCTTCTGCAGTGGGGAGCAATGGTGGAGAGGTAATTTTGGGGAATTCAACAGCAAGAAATCAATAACAAAAGATCTGGAACTGGTCTTTCCCACCAGGTGGGAAACTTTGAAGGTCTCTAGCTTGCACTTCAGAAATTTTATGTATTTGCCCTATTTCCCTACCCAAACTGTAAAATCCTCCAGAGCAGGTCTTTCTTCTACTTCTTTATCTCCCATAGTGCCTGGTGCAGTCTCCTGCAATGTGGGTGGTATCCTGCTCAGATCTTCCTCAGCAGGTGAGCATACTCCTCACCCAGCTGCTGTGGGTTTTGGCTAAATGGCACACAGCTCCCCTAGAATTGCCCTTGGCTGAATGTGTTTTGCTCTCCCACCCCACTCCCACAGCCAGCAGCCAATGACTGACTGCAATGGAGGCACAAAAGTCCTTCCTCTGTTCCTTAAGGTGGCCCAACTGCAAGGTGCAATGCATGCTCCAGAGCTCTCTGTGGTCTCATGGCCCAGACTGCATTGCTGAGCATTCCTCTCCAGCCCTATCTGCTCCCTGAATCCCCTTCTTCTAGAGCATTCCTTGAATAAATCACTTTCCCAAGAATCCCCATCTCAGGGACTGATTTGAGGGAACCAACCCAAGACTATAATGGCCACGCTCTTGGCCACTGGAACCCCTACCACCATATTTTTATACAATATCAATGCAGTGAAAAAACTCACAGCATGGCTCACAGCCTTCTTGTTTCTGAATTTCTGTCATTTAAAGCTCTCCTTCTTGAGCCCACCAATTAAAGGGAGAAGTTGTAAACCTTTTTCACCTACTTGTTAGCAGTTCTTGGAGACAGGATGATACCGTTGTTGAAGATGAGGTTTTGCTCTTAACCGCAAACTTGTGTCATTCCTCTGCTCCCTCTTCCCCACAACAGAGCCTGCGTGCTCCACATCTGTCAATTAAGCCTGCGCCCCGCTGGTGGGGGAGATGTGCTGAAGGCCAGTCAGATCCCGCAGCAAGGACCCTGAGACTCATGTCATTGAGAGGGTTCTTTCTGCTCCCAAAGCAGCAACGGAGCTGATCGCTGCTAGCAAAGTGGGATGAGGCCCAGAGTTTAGCGGAGCTGCCTGACTAAGGCACTGTCCCAAGGAGACATATGCCACAAGGTCAGCCCCTGGGGGGTTGTGTTTGGGTCCCTGACCACGGATGGTACTCAGAGCCCTGCCACACTGTCATTTTCATGTGTGCCAATGGGCACTAAAGGGACTCAAGGCATAGGAGGGCTCACATATTGGTCCGTGAGAATGTGCACAGCAAGAGAAAGATGTCAGTGGAGACGAAGTCACTTCAACTCTGAGATCTCGAGTGTCAAAATCTGGAAGGGTTTTCAGTGGTCTTAGTGATGTTCTTAATATAATTTAATGAAGCAAAGCTCACATCTCCAGGATCAAAATGGCACTGAAGTCAGGCAAGAACACAGTTCTTTCATTTAAGCCACAGACCCTCTAGCACGCTCTGACAAAAAGACCCCATTGATTTAACTCCAGCACTTCTCAACAGTGGCTGAGATCAGTGAACCCAGAGTTGGATTAGTGGGACTACTGGAAGGACAGTGATAGTGGACTTAAGATGGTTAGATTTGAAAAGAAAAGCCCTGGGTCGCTTACAGGAGCACCTCCATCTACTTTCACCTCTACTTACTGAAGCTGTACCTGCAGCTTCCTGGTCAGAAGGTTTGGAGTTGGCTCTAAAATATGGTTTGAAATCCACAATACTGACACCAGGCCTCCAGATGATTCTGGAGTTACTTCCTGATTAACAATCTGTATAGGTTCTCCCCTCCACAGTCTCCCCCAACTTGAATCCCTCAAGACTCTAGCCTTCACAGATGTAGGGAGAGGCCAGGTAGGCTCCACTTCAAAGGATCAGGTGATACGTAAATGAATGAGATCATACATAAATGAACCTATGTTCCAATACAACTTTATTTGGCCCATCTTGATCAACTTTAATAATATTTAATAGATTTTTTTTTAAACATGAGTAGTTATAACAATTCTTCTGTAATAACAATTATATATGAACTCCTGGTCAAGGTCAGCAGCTTGTAACTTTACTAAAAAAGTAAAGCCGCCCTCTGAGGACAAAATGGCACATGAGGAGTGGTGTACATTTCCATTAACAAAAAAAAGAAAAAGGAAAAGAAAACCCAAACACTTCATATTTACATGTTTTCCATCTAAAAATCGGTCAGTGTGATTAATCCTGTTTTTAAATATAAGTTTCTAACGTGTTGCAGGTTTCAGTGTACAAATCATAGTTTGCTGATTAGATTTAAGGTGCTGTGATGTGAGGATGAACACAGCCTGAGACCAACACTGGGGGGTCCTCTACCTACAGATTGGCCAGGCTTCCTGTGGGTATCTTTGGGGTGTTGGGGAGGGGGCAGGAGCTGAACATGAGGGGCAGAAATGGCAGAGCATTCCAGGAGACTGGGTTGGGGGCTGTCAGCATCCCCACCCCATGCTTCTGCAGAGGGCTGTGTGTCCACAGGCCACTATCCCCTGCTCTGTGTGTGAGCATACCTCTGGGTTTGTGTGCTCCAAACTCATCTTGGCCTAAACTATGAGGGGCATGGTTACTTTGAGTCCCTTCTTTTGTCATGGGAACTGGTGGCACTCCCTCTTTCACACTTTGCTACCTTTTGGACTCCTTACCCTCAAGGTAGCTTGCTCTCCAACGCATTCCTGCTCTTTGCCAAGGATACATGGATGATCAAAATCAAGGGCAATATGAATGAAGAATGATGGGTCCCATGTGAAACCTTCTCTCCTAACACATTTGCTCTGTGGCAGGCACCCAACTGCTTTCCCCCAGATGAGCAATTCATGCTGGGAACATTAGATCCTGAGGTAGCCTTGGGGAGGAGCTGTGTGTATGTGGGTGGTGGGGGGGGAGGGTATGGGGGGACTGAGGGTTGGTTGCAGGGATTCTTGGAATTGCTGTCTTCAAGCTCACCCATGTACAACATCCACTGGGGAAAAACGGCTGTGTCTTTGATGCGTCAGGAAAGTGCATAGGGAGTGCTGGAGAAGGTGGACGCACAGGCCCAGGACTGACTTTACCCACAGACCCCAAACTGCTCTGGGCTGAAACAAAGATTTCAGACCACGCAGGGGTGAGGCATACTCAGGAGTGTGGCTGATAAGAACATTTAAGTACTTGGGGAGCCAGAAAAATATACTTGGTGACTATGAAAAAGAAACGGGTTGTTTCCAATTTCAGAATACGAGAAACATTGCTTTGCATAAAAGAACATGGAATGGGTCAGATGGTAATGGACAGGGAAGAAACATTTCAGACCAAGTTTTCTGACCGAAAAGCCAGAGGGACCCCAGCAGAGGAAGACATTATATAGTGGACAGACACTGGGCTGGGGACCGAAGGCTGGGATTCAAGGCTTGCCTGATACTGAGGAGGCCTGTGCTCTCAATCGAGTCACTTTGCTTCTCTGGGCCTCACTGTCCTTCCTCAGCTGTCAGTTGAGGGTGGTTGGGACAGATTGTTTTAAAACTATCTGCAAGATTCCCCGCACCCCCCACCCAGGAAGGGCCTGCAGACTGCGGTCTAAGGGCGTCTCTCGCCTGCACACGGCCCCTTTGCTGGGAAAGTGATCAGCCCCCAAGCCAGGCTCCCAGAGGTTAAAGGCTAGTTATTAAGGCAGTTTAAGAAATGGACATTCCTCTCGCTCCTCGGATCCTTCATGTGTTCCGCTAACCCCAAGGTAGCAGAGAAGGGCGGAAGGTGGTGGAGGTGCCAGGTTGGCGGCTTCCTCCTGCCAGGCCTGGCTTTCTCGGTGGCCTCCCACTCGCTCGCTCGGGGCCCTGGAGCGCCACCTCTGCCCTCACCACCTTTCTTTGGAGAAGGCCTCCGTCTGCACGAGGTCGCCAGGGTGATCGGAGATGCACGCGCCGTTGAGGTCGCCCAGCTTATTGTCCGGCAGGTCCTCGGGCTTGGTGCAGAGCTTCAGGGCGCGGGAGATGAACACGTCCAGGTCGAACTGGGGACTGGCGCCCCCGTCGACGGGGGCCGGGCGGCCGGGGGCG